AGCTCCAGCCAATGAGATCCTGTTCTGAAATTCAAAGTGGATGGCATCTGAAGAGCACAATCTGAGGCTGAACTCCGGCTTCTGTGTATACCTATATGAACACGTACCTACACATACTGACAAAGTCACCCCTACAAAATTCTAAAGACTGTGACTTACTTATATTCAATATATACTTCACTGAGGCAGTACTATCATTTTACAATATCAACCACACTGTCACTTAATCTATGAATACAGTACATTATTTGAATTCATTTTCCACTGCTAAACTGTTTTTGAATTCTCTAGCACGAAACCGTTTTTTAAAGTGTCTATGGTGTACTCTTAGATTCGGTATTCATTTTGTGCTCTTGGTTCTATTCGGCTTGCTGAGAGACGGGTCTCACTAGATACACCAAGCAGGCCTCTAACTCAGGATCCTCCTGCCTTAGTCTCCTGAGGGGTGAGCCTACAATTGTGAATTCTCATGCCTGGCTCTAGATTTGCCTCCTAATATTCTCCTTAACATTGTAAGTAAGGTTTGTCTCTTTCTGTACTTGAATGGCATTTTTATCAGGATTGTTCTATATATAAGTTGTTTGTATCCTTCAGAGTGGCTTATAAACTACAAAACATGTTTCTTCCTCAATGTGATTCACAGCAAAGTTGACCAAAACTGTAGAAGTGTTCATCCTTTTCATGTTTCAAAATGCTATACAGCACACTCTCACACAGCCAATTTCAATAAATATTTTTAATTCACTAACTTTTTAATGAGTATGTCAAGAAAACTTAATCATCAAAAAAAGCAAGTATCTAAATGATAGTCATCCCATAAAACAAAGTGCAAATTTGTAAGTCAGGGAATAAGCTTATATACTGTGTTACCTATGAGACTATAATTCAAAAATAAACTCCACAAAGATTAGGGAAGTCAAGAACGAGGCTGAAGGCAAATGTTTACTCTAAAACACTAAGCAGTTACTATCACTGAATTCATCATATTCAATGGTGGTCTCATGTTTGTGAACATTAGAGCAAGGGCCAAATCCTTTACACCAACATTATTAAAAAAAAGAACATTATGTTTTAGTTTTTGCATGGAATATAAGAGCTACAGAGACATTACAATTCCACGCCATGCCCTCAGCCTTCTGTGGGAAAAAAAGAGGGAGGAGCTAGGAAATCTGCCACAATTTCCTAAGTAGGAATCAAAGGCCAGTGCTAGTGATCTCTTTATTTCAATGAAAAGATAAAGGATCCCCCTAAATCAGGTGTCCCTTACTTACTGTGTGGCCCTAGGGTTCTGACTTTAATGTCCCTGTTAGCAGTAAGACATCATATCAAGTAGTTTTACATGTATTTGGTTATGAGAAAAGGAAGCTGAAAGGCTGTTACCCGTTAGATGACTGCACACGCGCTCACTTATACACGTCTAACTAGTAATTATGAGGGCTGGCTTTTCAAAGAGCAAAGCTTGTGTGCTCAGGAGACACTTACCATAAAGAGCTCCTTTACCACTGCAGACTAAAGGAGCAATGGGAGACAACCTTTCCATGGTATGACTGGTATGCTGTCACCCAAACTGCCCTACAGATGACACAGATACTTTATTTACTAAGTGCTCGTGTCATGAGTGAGATTCAAAAACAAAGGAGAGAGAAACAGCAGAAAGAATGATTGTTACAGGACACACTCGCTAGAAAGTCCTTAACTTGTGCTCAGAGGTCTTTCCTAGATCCGGCAGAGTCAAGGGAGCATAGTGAAATTGTTTCTCCTACTCTTACACTTAAAACTTAAAAATCATTCTCCTAAATGTAACTCCCTCAGGCTCATCATAATCAAACAAAATACAAATACAAAAGATCCACATACTCATCTCTGCCTGGTAACACAATCTTACGCTGTGTACCTGAATAATCTGTATGCATGAACCATCACCGCTTGCAATGCCCATCAGACTCGGTGGTGCCATTCATTTCATGCTTATTTTGCCAAGCAGGTGGTAATTACAAATACATTCATTTTTTTCATTATATTGGTCTTTAAAATACTGTTTTACTTCACTTGAAGAGTACAAACAAATCCCCTGGGTAAATTTCATTTTATTTGAAACAGGATTCACTATGTAGCCCAGGTTAGCCTCCAACTCCAAAGCATTTAAAGCAATAATGTAAATGCTGGTGGGTTTGTCTGTCTTTTTTAAAGTCATATTTACATGTAAATATTTAAAAGAGTATTCTCTTTGTAGAATAGAATCTTAAATGGTTTAAAGCCATTACAAGGCCAAATGTATTTAGCACGTATCATAAACGTAACAAAGATTGCCATTAGTAATTATAGTTTTTAAATTCTCACAAGCATAAGTGAGAAATATTTATATAAGCCAAAATTCAACTCACTTATTGCTTTAATATTTCTGCCATATGTCCAAAGTTGCTGGGGGATAAAAGAGAAAAAGAGCACAAATGAGAAAGGACAGAAAGCATGCACACAAATAAGGGTGTGTGAAATGACAGGAAAAACTCATCTCCTCAAGCTTGTGAAAGCCAAACTGGCAATTGTTGGTTTCTTTTTACAAACCTGGAACTGCAACTTTGGGGAACATGTTTGAAATGGAGTACTGTGGCCAGAGCACACTTAAAGAAAGCACTCAGTATCACCACAGCACAAATCAGCGTCAAATACCCAAGCCTGGCCCCTTCAAAACCAGTGTTGGTGCCTTTTGCAATCAACCAGACTACCAGAGACCTGCCATTCCCCAAACCTGCAAATGCCTACCAAATGCTCTTTTCCAGAAACTACTGCTTCTGTTGTTACTGACCATCAGACAGAAGAAGCTTCTTCAAAGCCATTTCACAAACTTCTATCTTATATTATCAGGGTACTTCAAAGGAATGCCACCCGCCCTGCCCCTTTACTGGAGACAAGGTCTCTCTATAGAACTCGCCATGCTCCTGCCTCAGCCTCCAGAGTGCAAGGCTTACAGTTTTGCATAACCATTCCAAGCAAGATCAGCTATATGGGACCAGAAAAACTACACTCACTCACAGAGGATGAAAAAGGAAAGAAGACATTGTTTTCCATTGTTCTGGAGTCCACAGAGAATTCAATGATTCATGAAACTCAAAATGTTTTACTGAATTCTCCATCAAAGTCTTTTAATCAAGATTGGAGTCAACAAGCTATAGTAGTCGTTTCTTTCCATGAACTTGTTACTAAGTAAAATTACACATATTTTCATATTACAACTATATTCATTCAAACAGGTAACAGTGGCTCGCCCTCGCCCTTCCTCATGCCGTGAGCCTTCAATACAGCCCCTCATGTTGTGGAGAGCCGAAACCATAACATTATTTTTGTTGCTACTTCAAAACTGTAATTTTGGAGTAACTATGAATCATAATGTAAATATCTGATGTGACCCCTGTGACAGAGTCATCTGACCCCCTCCCCCACCATGGCCAAGCCCCATAGGTTGAGAACTTATATTCTGGCAGAAGGAGGGCATTAACCTATCACAAATCTGCATTTCTCGTATTTGTGACTGAGGTTCAATTTTACTGGCCTGTTCACACAATCCCGAGCCATTAGAACCATTACTGTGGGACAGAGTTCACAGGGTTCTATATATTATCAAAGTGTCCTTAGCATGGCAACCAGTGACACAGAGATGGAGGGGTTGTCATGAGAACTGTCTTATCTACTCAAATGGCAATTGCTTGTTTAGGATTCATTTCTTCTAAGATTTTGAAGACACACTTCCTTAACTTTTGCTATTTATTTAATAGGTACATGTACACATGCATATTTGAGTGGCACCCAAAAGTCAGAAGACAACTAGTTGGAATCAGTCCTCTGCTTCCCCTATTTAGGCTCTGGAACTCCAGCCAACTCAAGTTTCAGACCCATGTGAAGTGCCTTCTTTCACCGGTTGGGCCAGGTCACTGAAACCTGACATTCGTAAAGAACTAAAACTAACAACAAGATAGAAATCTTACTTAAGATAATGTATCAAACTATCTTTCTTTCTAGTTCTCAAATTTCTAGGTCTCAAATTCCCCCTCTCTTTATATTATTTAAACTTACATCTTCAACTTTTATCCATCAATTCTACTGGCTACAGATAAACAACGGAGAAAGCAATCCAAAGAAAAATATGTGACTCTCCTATTTGAAAGGGTTGTAAGTAAAAGTTCTTATTAGCTTACATTACTCCCTATTCTAAGTCAGAAATTACAGTATTACCTAAATATACTTTTAGCAATCCAATATAAAAAAACATTTCCCTAAATTGCACTTACTTAATGTAGTTTATATTTAAATAGTTTTTAACTTATGTTTCAATAATCATTTCCCCCAAAGACATATTTACCTTCAGCCAGTGCTGGTGATTCTGTCCTTGTCCTTCTATCTGTTTAAAGAAAAAAAAGGGGAAGAGAGTCTAAAACATCATTATACTTTCAAGTAAGTCACTACAGCTAACTTCAACGGAAGTACCCTGAGTTCCCCAGACACACATAAAGAGCCAAGTATGGCAGTACATCCCTTATCACCCCAGAGTCACAAGAGAAGTGAACACACAGACAGACAGAAGACTCCTCCAAGGTCACCCACCGGCTTGCCAAGTGTGCTCGCGCTCTCTCTCTCTCTCTCTCTCTCTCTCTCTCTCTCTCT